TATTGGTTTTTATTTAAAAAAAACTTTTCTTGAGGTTAATTAGAAAAAAATTTTGATAAGTAAAAAATAATAACCGCTATTACTTTTGGCTAGGACTGTAAATCAATAAAAATAACTTACAATTTAAAGGATTAATTCTTAAAAATTTAATTGGTTTAAATTACAGTAAAAAATAGAAATAAATACTAATAATTAATAAGGATAACTTATTATTTAAAGGATTTAATTGTTTTTTAAATAAATATTTAGGTGACATTAACAATAAAAAATATATTAAAATAATTATTTCTGTAATTTATAATTATAATTAAGTTATTTAATAAATAAAACTTATGATTTATAATATTTTAAGTAAAATTAAAATTTAAAAATATATAAATAATAAAATAACTTACCAACTAAAATGCAATTAAAAATTTATAAAATAAATTAATCATATTTACAATATAAAAAAATTAAAAATAACTTACCCCTTATTTATTAAATATTGATTATTTAAAAAGGTTAATTATATAATAATTTAATAAAAAATTATATAGCTTACAAGCTATAAAATGTAATTTAATCAATAAAGAATTACTAGTAAATAAAATGTTCATTACATTTCATGTTACTAATAGTATAAATTCTATTATTATTCTGAAAATTTGATATTTTATTTAATTAGAAAAGAATTATTAAATTTAATTCTTAATAAAATATCCTACTTATTAACTACTTTACAGGTATTTAATATCCATGTATCGTTTGCTTTGATTTCTAGTAATTTGTTTAAATCTGCAAGTGATTCATCATATTTTTCCATTATACAGAATGGATCTTCTCGATATCTTAATACTTATGTAATATTTGCCTTAAATTCCTGGAAACTTTATCAAATCTGAAAGTGCTAATTTATATTTACCTATAACAAAATAAATTTTTCCTCGGTATTTTAGTATATGTTCAACATCTGATGATTCTTTGAAATCAGCAAATCTAATAATCTGTTGACTTATTAATTTATCATTATATGGATTAAGAATTACAGCCCATTCTCCTTTAAAATTCATCAATTCATTTATCACTAAAAAATAATTATTATTAATACAGAAAATAAAGAAAAATAACTAAATAAGTATACCTGTGTATTTGAACTTTTTATAGCCAAAGTTTGCTCCTATAGTTCCACCTGGTGACAAGATTCCAACACAAGGATACAAAGCATTTTTCAAATCTTGGAATGTAATTCCTTAAAATATATAATAGATTTCAATATCTATTATTAACCTAAAGTAACCTAGAATTTTGTAATATACCTATATTCACTCCGTTTCTTGTATAAAATACCGTATTCTTTCTAATGTTTAGACAACAACATCCAATAGTATCACCGGTCATAAATTCTTTTCCATATGGTTTGTCCCTAGTTTCAAAAATATTTTTCCATCATCACCATACCCCACGAACTATCTTCCCAACCTACAATATAATATAATTTAATTAATGAATTGACAGTTCATAAAAAGATAAGGTAAATTACCTGGAATTTTATTTAGGTTAGCTGAATTTGTGCAAACCCCGATTCCAACCCCCTATGGAATTTGAAAAATAGAATTATAGGCAAATTTTAAATATATAACAGAAAAAACAGACATAACCATTTTCCCCTTTATCTATAATGCCAACTTCAAAATAAAAATTATAATTGTTAAACAACATGAAATAACCTGTATAAGTCACTATAAGCCTGTCTGAATTAAGTTTTGAAAGATTATGTTTATCATTAATATCCTATGCATAGATTAGTATGCGTTTAGTTATTTTTTTTTAAGAGAAAATAAAACTTTAGAACATTCTCGATTCTCATTGCTATTTAAAGCATATCGATCAATTTTTCATGAAAACAATAAAAGATTTACTTACTCCTTATAATTAATAAATTGAAGAGTAGAGTATTTTGAAAAAATACAAGTTTGGTATTATTATCAAAGTAAATTTTAAATTATGAGAATTAAAAGTTTCATCCTTCACTTTTGATTGTTCAAGTATATAAAAATGGCGTTAATTCTGGATTAGTAAGTACAATATATCTGATACTTTTTGTATTATATTGATTATCGTTATTATTTGATTTCAAATATTGAACTTACAGTACGATATAGGGATTGGAATCGATTCAAAAAAGTGATATCGATTAATTGTTTCTCGAGAAGTTGGTTCTAAGGTTCGAATTTCGATTTCGATTATTCGATATAATCGATTTTATTTATAGAGTTTCAATTTTTTATTCACAATTTGGACCCTGACATTATTTATTAAAAAGATTTGCATTTTCACAAATTTGAAATTTTTAATTCAGAAAGTACGAAAAAGTATATTAAATTCCATTACTGCTGCCAAATTAGCATAATTATAATTACATTCTTGATTTACAATTATTTATTTTATTAATAAAAATGGAATATTCAACTAATTTGTTATCAAAAGTGAATACTAATAATGGAAAATCTGAAAGGTTATCTTAAATTAAAGCTCTAATTTATCAAAATTAGCTTATAAAGGTTAATATTCTAATCTTTACATGATGGAATTTAGGGGATTATATAGCACTGGGTATTAGGTTAACCCTTTGGAAAACATTAATGATTTTCTATGAACAACCCTCGTACGCAGTACGCAGTGTCAACCGAGGCATTCCTTTCTGCATTCGAGAGTAAAATATTTTTTAATTTAAAATTAATAATAACTAGATGCATCAGGTTTCATGACGGAATCGAATAATTTTATTGTATATTTCGTATCTTCATCTAATTCTAGGTACCAATATATAATAAAATAATGATTGTATTACGAATGATTTTACTCTTGCGAAACATGTAATGAGTTGTCGATTAATCCATACAGAAAATGTATGTTGATGATGTAATTGATGCAATGAACACGTGTCTTGTTTTTAACATAACAAAATTTTGTTACCATTAAATATTAATTTCATAACCTTTCTTTTCTGTTTCAATAATTTGTTTAATGGCAGATATGCTAGAAACGCGCAGCCTTCAGTATAAACAAAATATAAAGTGGCTAAGTGGTCATACAAAGGTCCTAATAGGTTTACGAAGTCGATTTGCAGATGTTTTTAGAAAAACTTTTATTGAAGATATAAATGAAGACAACGAAGAAAACTGTTTTAAATTTGTCGCAGATAAGATGAATCGAATGTCATTATTTGCCGAACAAAATGCATTAATTCGACCAAGTCAAGTTAAATCCAAATATGATGACCTTCTTGAACAAGTACAAGTAAGTTCTGTAAGTTAGTTGATTCTATTATAGATTATTACAACACTTTTTTTTTTTTTTTTTATCGCTTTTAGGCATTAATTGAGGGAAAAGAGGACCGGATTTCCGAAGATGCCAGCGAATATTTTGAGAATGTAAAGCCATTTCTGAAAGATGATGAGTTATGGAAGGATGACAGAAGGAATAAAAATAAAGGAGGTAAGTTTTAATGAGATTATTAATTTTTATATAATACTTAGTAAAATCAGGATAACGATTTAAAAGATTTACAAAGCGTTGGTGACGACGTTATCGAAGAGTGCGAAGTGACCGCCGTTAAATCAATTTCTAAAAGCCGTTCAACAAGTATTAATTTATTCCAAATGAATGTTTTATATGAAACGGTTGATATTTAATGTAATTTAAATTTTATATAGGTTCTTCCAAAAGAAAGATAACCGATGACGATCAAGTAAATCAAAGACCCCGTAAAAGTATATATATATTTTTTTTTATTAGAACTATTATCGTTATTTAGTTGATCTTTCATAACATTTAAATTTAGGATTATTAACTAATGACAAGTGAGACGACTACTTAGCATACGAATCTTCAAGTCATAACTTAACAAGTTTTCACGAACCAACCGAATTGTAAAAATGATTATTCTGATTTATATAAAAATTTCTCGTATTTCTTGCTATTCAACAATTATTATACTCTTCAAATGAAAATAAAAATTGAATGATATGAAATTTTGAATAAACAAATTCAGTTATGAACTTACTGAATTTGTGTTATCTTATGATATAGCTGTTATGTTATTCTAAAGAACTAAACTTGATTGTGATAAAATAAGTACTGACAAAGGAGATAAGATAAGAATGTATTTGAGCCATGAAAATGTTCTATAAATTTTATTTCAACAATTTTACGGTCTTTTTTTTTTTTAGAAAATAACTATCTCTACCCTGGTTTCGTAACCTGTAACTGATGATCACGTGATTTTTGACATAATTATTTGTAATTGCTTAAACGTATAATTAATTGATTAAAAATAAACTTCCTTTTTTCTCAAAAAAAACTGCCACTGTCAATAAATGGATTCTAACTTACAAAAAAACTTTTTTTGATAAGAAAATGTTCGTCCAGATTCAGAAATCATTATTGTTGATGAAGGACAAATACATCCTTTTATAATAAATATATATATATTTTTTTGTATTTAATTTATTCAATAATGCTTTTCTAGTTATCAGCCATTTTATGTCAAGAAAGATGAGCTTCTGACGCAGACACTTGTATGTTAATTTTTCAATTATGCTGCTTTCATATACTACCGCAGAGTTGATTTTTACGCAGAACAGCAACAAATTAAACAATATCATCAAAAAATTGACGCAAAATGTTGATGAATTGTCTAGCAATTAATGGACCAACTAATGGCGTTATTACGGATGGATGCTAGATGATATTTCAAATCGTCCAACAAGCAAGTTAGCCCAACTGAGGATTATATGGCCTTAGAAACGTGGCGGTACAGCAAATCAACATGCTCGTTTATTACACATTAAGAAATTTGAAGATAATAATGAATTTTACATAAAGATCTTATTGTGCGTCCCTCATAACTAACCACTCATCTAATTTCAGACACCGCATATACTTGCAATCGCCCTGTTGCTATTCTTGAAATCCTGGTCAGTGTAAGATTTACGCAAAATTTACAATTAGTGACAAGATTATGACATACATAACTGAGGGCTAAAAGCAGGATTACCTTAATTCACTCAATGACATTGATGCTGCTGTCCTTACTACAATTTGAATAATATAATTATTGATCATTTTGATGGTAAGCAAGGAAGATTTCTGGTATTGTATTAGTCAGTTCGATAATGATGTGTTTAACTTTTTTGTCGTACAAACCCTGATTGAAAAGTCAACAAATCTTATCAAAAAGATCACAATTCGAAAGTCCAAATCGAGGGGAGGATAATAATCGGAAATATACTTGGGATGTAAATATAAACATTAGGAATGTTTTATTTGATCTCGTGATGTTTTCACATTTTTGTTTCATCGGTATGGAATTTCTGTCACAGGACCAGTGTATTATCTTTCGGCACCACATTCTTTTATTGGAGTAAGCTTAGCGTGGTATACGTAAGTCACCTTTTGGAAATACCTGTTAGTTTTACCAAATAATTATGTTATTAACTTAATCTGTCAGCGTACACTCGGAATAATTGTGGTGAGACACAGTGGGTGGTGCAATCGCTTTATCAATATCGATCCATAAGATGATTCGGGCACAAGAGCAGCAAACCGAAGTTAGAATAGTATGAAAACATAGTTTTTCTACTTTATTTCATTTTTCTTTGAAATAAAGTATATATTTTTCGTATAAGTCGCCATCTATATGTTGCAAACTTTATTGATTTGTAATATATGAAACATGCGATAAATAAAACATCCCACTCTGAATAATATTAAAATGCACATTCTGTTATGATAAATTTTTTAATACTTTAAAATTCATAACATTTCCAAAATAAAGAATATAAATAAAATAATAAAAATTACATCATTATAAGAAGATAACTTATGCAGGATTTGATCGGATTTATCGTATTCAATATCAAATTCATATTCTTTCGTATCATATTCTGAAAAATAATGAGACATGATCGTTACTACTTGTGGAAAGGGCAAGTTAATTATTCACAGTTTTCAAGTTGAATTTATAGATGAATGTTTAGGAATTAAAGAACTCAATGCTTTACTTTTATAAATTGCTTTTGGATGTCTTTCCACCTGTTTAGCATCAAGTTTCTTTAATTTGATTAAATTGTATGCATTTTTTTTACAAAACGCCAACTAGCAACGGTTTCACGTATTCCATAGAAAGGTCTTTTGAAGGATCAAAGTCCCAACATTTTTCATTAAATCAGCAAAGCAATCAGGAGTACCAGTAGAAATTTCAGGTCGCTTTCCATCAATAATTTCAATAATAAGATGAGTATCATGTTCAATATTAGCAAAAGGTTTACAACCAGTTGTAAGGTTTTCACATAATCATAGCCATGGCATAAACACAAGATGCTTGAACCATTAAATACTTCTGGTGCTATGTATGGTATTACACCATATATCATAATTTGATGAAATATTATTCGCAGATTGTGATCCCATGTCTCCAATTTTCCATTGATATCTTGGATTATTTTCTTTATCAAACAATATATTTCCACTATGAATGTCTCGATGTATATGATTATTTTTATGAATAGTTTCAAGTAATTATAAATCAAAGTGTTATAATAAAAATGACCGTAAATATATGCAAATTTAATATACCCTTCCAAAATTTGCAATAAAATTTCCAACATTTCTTCCATGTTATCTTTGTAATATTATTTTGTAAATACTCCTCCCGATGCGTATTTCATTACCAGAATAAAATCATCTGTCTCGAGATCTTTGGTAACTCCATAGCATCTGATAACATGATCATGATGATGCGACTTTAAGTAAATTTTAAAATGTAATTTTTTTTATTTATTTTAGAATAGATACGTATATATATATAAATGTAGAAAATTGAATAATTACCTCATTTAAAAAGTATTTTCTGACATTCTTTGAATTTAAAATTCTTTTTATAGCAATATAAGTGATCGTGATCGATAATCACGTTGCTTTATAAATAATACCAAACCTTACTTTTGCAATCCTTTCTAAATTTATAAATTTAGGAAATGTCTGAACGTGAATGAATAAAAGTTCTGTTAAAAATTCATACACATTTAATGGGTTGCAATACTATTCATGGTATTAACAATATAATTATTTCCTATAATATCAAATCTTGTATAATTAAAATTCGTCGATATTTCTATTTCCACTGCTTATAAGTGTCGTATAATCATCGATAAATGATATTCTTTTGCATTTCTTCATTGACCTGTAATTCCATAATTAAATTGTTGTTAAAAAATATCTACATCCATTATAAGTTATATGGCAATATGAACACCACTTTTGACAATCATATCTAGAATCTAGGTTCACGTTACAAATCCCCAATTCCCATAAATATTATCTCACCAAGGTAAATAAAAGATTGGAATAAGTTTCTTAATTAAAGTTGACTCTGTCCATCCAGAAGAAATTATATAACCTGTACATATCTTAAAATCAATTTTACAATTCGATAAGTTTGAAAATTCTCGATAAACTAATATTCCACGTAAGCTACTCACTTTCAAATTTTTCACATTCTTCTTTGTTAAAATAGTAACCATGCCTATTAAATATTTGCATAAAATATAAAATCTTGGAGAAATGTTCACACCATTATAGATATTTCGTGTGAAAAAAGTCTTGGGAGTTTGATCAAAAGAATTTTCATATTTACATGATTTTATAGCAACTGTGGTGTAACGTTGATCAAATTTATTAAACGTCATAAATTGGAATTTTTTTTTTTAACTTTGATTACAGACAAACCTTTATTGTATTTTAAATATAAATACTTCGAGATAAAAATAAATTTGTCATAAATTCCTCCATCATGTTGATATCATTAAATTCGCTTCGCCCTACCTTTTTTTATTTTATTTTATAGAATAAAGAAATTATTATAATCTCTTTCGCCATTTTTGTCTTAAATTGATCGAACATGGAGCAGTAAAATCATTTTAAGAATAAATAATAAAGAATTAATATTTTCTTTATAGTTTGATCTATAATACTGATGTTTAAGAATTGATTATAGAGAAAAAATATTTAAACGAAATGAATTTTGCTTCATCTCTAACTTCACTCTTAAAAAAAGCAAAAATTTCACAAATCAACTTAAAATACATTCTTCGAAATTCAAACAAAAATGAAAACATATTCCTCGATTCTCTTTTACATCGTAATCTTTATGGCAATGTTTGTTCACGCGCAAGCTCAAGATCAGGCTCAGAAATTTGGCTGCAAAATTAAAGTTTACCGACCTAAGCAAGGAGCCGTTTATCCATTTTTTAGCAGACAATATATCGAATATGATGTTAGTGATGGTTGCATGACTGGTTCGTAATAAATATTTTTTTTATTTTTTTTTTCATTTTTTTTCTTGTAATTTTATTTGGTTAATAATCATTTCATTTTCGTTTTCATTTTTTTTTTTGTGTATGAATTAATAGAAGATGGAGATGACAGAGTTAATGTCGGTGTAATTAGTCGTACCACAGGCAACAAAGTTTATGATGTTGTTAAAAATGGAAATGTAAGTTTGGTGAACCTTGTTCATTCGCTAGATTTTTGAAATTCTAATTAAATTAATTAAATTTGAACTTAATTTTTCTTTTTTTATAATTGCAGCTGATTAATACACCTAGAAAGCTTCGATTCAGAATCGATCCAGTTTGGGCAACAGATGGACGTAAATATTATATTAGGGTCACTGTCAGACGTAAGGGCGCGATATCTGGAGATTTTACTACCGTTGAAGAGCCTTAATTACAAAAATAAAACTTATTAGAAGTATTATTTAAATAATAAGTTTGAGATTTTTTTGTTATCATTTAGTATAAATA